AGATCGGAAATTCTTTCAGCTATTCAAATCTTTTTTCAAATTTATTCTAGCTATTATGATCATGCAATAATTGCAACTAGACGCATTTATGTGTCGCCGGGAGCCAAAGGGTTAATCAATATAAATGAATACTAATTAGTGTCACTCTGATGCCTTACACTTTTATTTGCAAATTAACGGTTTATTGAAAACGGTAAAGTAATATCTCATTCGACAGAAATTTCCAAGCGCTACAAATTCCTGTATTTGCCTTTTCAAAATGTCACCGGTAGGCAGTTATTTATACTCGGTTTTAGGCAAACAGGGTTTATACTATGGATTTCTCAATACAGTGGCCATGGCTTTTTCTAGAATAACTCAGGAACGAAAAGCAACAGAGTTCAGGTTTTCAACATTTTATAGAGACGACTTTACTCTATATCGCATATATTTTGGGCTAAAAATCTCGGTTTTTCAGGTGATCTACCTGAAGGATGAAAAGCGATGAGGTTGCTAAATTCTGAGCCTACAGTGGGCTCTGAATTTCAACATTGTGACTAGATAATTCAACGTGTTTTCTACAATTCAGTGCAAGACCATCCTATCTGCTGTGGTCCTCGAATGGCAAGAATTTTCCCGAATCACCCGAAATTCGTTACCATTTCGTCGAGTAAATGTGTGCCATACGAGAACCACAACAGATAGAGAGATCGGGTTTGCGCAGAATTGTAGAGAACATATGGGGCTATCTAGCTACCATGTAACAATCCTTCAAATTCAAATCCAGTCGTTCTCTTTAAACTGACATACTTTGAGGGTACAAATAATGTGTATGGACCGACTTGTTAACTGCAGTGTGAAACTCTTGCCAAAGATCCTGCAATAACGAAGCATGACGGAGTAATCGTCTTGCCACAAAAATTGTACGCAACAGCCAATAGGAACGTTGTCTGTCTTTCAGAGTTAATGAAAAAATTTTGAAAGAAATTAAATTTTAAAATTTTCTAAATTCTAAACTTTAAAAGAATTTAAATTTAAAATATATGGAAGAAAATTTTGAAAACCAGATAACGTCACTTTTTTCACGTTTGTGACCCCATAAAGGGGGCTTACTGTGGCGTGACCCACTGAACTGTTCAACATATCCGAATATCAAGGGAGGGATTTAAATTAGTAATACGCAAAAACATCGTTTGTTTCTCACTTTTCGCGACAAGTATCATAAAACAGAAGAGTAAAAATAGAGAAATAACTCAATAAGTGTGAAATGTGAATGAAGTCATGTTTGCCATTAGAATATTTCCTTTTCAGTCTAGAATTATTGATCATGATCTGGATCTGGATCTGGATCTGGACCTATATTCTAGTTGAATTTGATATTCATAAATTCTCTCTTGTTCATTTCCATCTAAATCATTGTCATCATCAATTTTCAATCCTTCTGCTATAAGTTTGATTTTTGATGCATTATCACCTTTTGGTATAGCAGTGAATTTCATGGCTGAAATCACCTCTTTAAATTCATATTTAACCGGTTTTTGTTTCGCATTTTTCAATATTAACTTTATATCATAAATAGCCGAATTTCGTTTTTGGCTAAGTACTTTAACTTCACGTAGGTAACTCACCTAAACAACAAAAGAAAATCAGAACCGATAATTAGAATAAAGAGTAACGTACATCTGGATCATTTCCACAATCTAAATCTTGTTTGTCCCCTATTGGCATATCGGGTGCATGAGCTTGTCCCACAACTCGCCCATCTTCTCGTACTGTTACTGTTCCACGGGGTAGAAATTGGTCACTTTCAATGCGATATTTTCGTTGAAACTTCCCTCTTTGTGCGCGTTCCGAAAAGCTGAGTTCCAAGCCAACATACTTTGTCAATGTTATATTTGCTAGAAACATTATTTTCACATAAGAAGACAAGCAAATTCACAGTTTCCTTTAACTTACGTTCAACAAATGGAAGTGAGAATGTACTTTGGGAGAGAAGAACAAAAGGCTGATCAATCGAATACCAATAGATACCGGCTAGTTCTCCTTTTGATTGGATTTGTGGTGCACATTCATTTGTACTGCAACCATCATAGCCTAAGCATTTCTTGTGTCTCCTTGCTCTTCCAAAGCCAAGCCCGCGGCCAGAATTAAGTCGAACATCTCCACCAAATATTTCTGTTCGTTTTATTTTATAGTCTCTTTTAGTTGAATTTGTCATATCAGCCCATGCTTCGAATGTGTGTTGTTCACCGCTAACTTTTAAATTGTAACGAGGTGACCATGTAATACCATTAATTAAATAGGATAAAGTTACTTCAGCGCCAGTTTTGAGAGCAAATGAAACTTCAGTACCCTCTTCTTCGGGTATAGTCACATATTCTTGAAATTAAGAAAGGTGGAAACATATGTAGTATGTTTCCATTATATAAGCAGACAATTGAATTTACCTAAGTCATGATGTTCAGCTTTTAGGTATCGATTGGTTTTGATGTCTTTCAATAAAAGATCATTAGGTCGAATGACTTGACATTCAATCGGTTGAACTCCTGATCGACGAACAAATACCGTCTGTCCTTCAAGATTATTGGCTTTCGTCACTGAATTTTGAGATAACACAGGGACGCCTTCGATACTCAAACTACCAGACACAATTTGAGCATAAACTTCGAGTGGAAAATATATTTTAAAGTTCTAAATATATATAGTATAGGATTAAACAAGAAATTATTTTTTTTCGACAAACATACGGAGGGTGCATTGAATTTTTCTCTAATTTCCGAAAATGATGGATAAATACGTAGCTCCGTAAAATCGGGATAAATCATGTCTTTGTTTTCCGCAGTCATCCTCAAAAACAAGAAAATAATATAAATAGAGTACTTTTGGATAGAAAGAGATAGCATCTGGCTTTATTGTCGTATTTTTGCTATTTCTCAGCCGTTTTTGATCGAGAAAATGTTCTACAGAACATGGTGATAGATCGAACAATTCTCTTTTTTATTTTTGTACATCGAGCACAAAACTTTCTTTCAAACACAGTCTTATAACACTCCCGCACCTGATCTATCATCATGTTCAGTAAAACGTTTTTTCGATCAAAAACGGTTGAGAAATAGCAAAAATACAACAATAAAGTCAGCTGCTGTCTCTTTCTACCCTAAAGTGCTCTATGAGAGTTTCTTCTTCAATTCAAAATTCACACGATTCTAACCTGCTCTTTTTATGAATAATTTGCCTAGTATAACAAGATGTTTTTTGCATCGCTTGATAGTTATCTTTGGTTATTAGGCAAAAATTTGAGTAATAATAGTAATAGCGATAACAACAAAAATAATTCAAGTTTATGCAATTAAACTTTGTCAGTGTTGCGGGCATTATATAGTCCATTATCAAGACACATAAAACGATGGTAAAATGAAAAGAGATAGCATAGAATACAATATACATTTTCACTCCTATACTAGTCAAAAAGAGGAGTAAAAACATGACGTACATAAAGTATTTATATAGTAAATATTTGATATCAAAACTGAAATTAGATTTACAATTTTTAAAGACATGTAAAAGAGAAGCTTTAATTCCAAAATTTGTACAATTTAAAGTACCACTGACACATAAACAATAAAATTAAAAACAATGACACAATAAAAATCCTTGGAGGGAAGGAAATAAGAAGAATATACACATATTCTTCTTATCGCCTGTATGTGAGTGGTACTTTTACTCCTCTTTTATTAAGGCTCACCTCCCACCCAAAAATCCATTTCTGCTTACGAGCATCCGATCTTAATGAAACTTTCAGAGATGGTGTATCTAGGTATGATGACCTCACAGTAAAAATTTCAGCTCGAAATATTAAGCCTATCAAGAGCTA